CACTCCAGGCGACTTTTAGGATTCGACTTTAAGCAATAATGGTCGCATATCTCTGGCTCAAGTATCACCACCATAAGTCAGGACGAGACGACTAGCATCACTGAAGACAGAATTTTGTCCAAAAACTTACCTTGTTAAACGTCCATGTCTGTCTTAGTTCCATGAATGTCTCCGTTGCGCCATCAACCAGCAGGGCGATCTAATCCTCTGCTTGAACATTTTATTTTTGCGCATTTTTGTATGATGATGGTGTAAGCTCCACAGTCACAAAGGTCTGCTTCTCAGTCATGGAAATCGGCAACTTAAGCCCCGGGGACTTAGAGTGGAGGACCACATAAGGAAGGGTATTGAACCGGGGGTACGGTAGAAACTGTATATGTAAACCTGATGTGTTTCATCGGACCACTGTTAATACACAACAGCTGAAAATATCGGTTCGGATAATTAAAAGCGTTTTTGATTTTGAGGTGTTTATATGTAGTCCGACGTTTGTGGAGTCGAATAAGGTCGAGAATAGACTGCACTGCGGTGGATGAATCCTCTAATAAAACGATATCCACAAACTGAGTCAACAATCTGCACGTTCAAACTTGTAAGGATGCTTTTTTCTGAAGTCTTATTTCTTTTCGATTTGTTTACGGCTTTTGCAATTTCGTCTTCTCAGGTGGTTCACAATTTAGTTGTTAGCGTTCGGGAGAAACCAGTGCTTTCGGAAATTTTGAGCGGTTTGTAGGACGGTCCACCAATCACCATACCTTCACCGCAAGCTCTAAGAACTACATGAGATGTCACACACGTTGAATTCATGATGTTTACGATGTCTCAATGCATCATGAATGAGCCAAAACAGCTTTGCAGTCCCTAAGGTAATTTCCACGTCCGCAGAGAAGTGCATATAGGCTAAGGTCACTTCTGGCTGAGTGCATTGACCCGCGTTTGAACCAGGGCTGGTAGGTGCAACCAATTAGGCGGACGTTTCGAGCAGCCTTGCCTTTTCCAATCATTGTGCCGCCTTGAGGTACCTATTGCCTAGCTCGGTGAAAAAGACTTCTCCCATAGACGTTGTAATGCTTCCTATTGTTCGACTACAACAATCACTTCCTAACGGATAGGCGCACTGGTGGTAAGAATAGAAGCAACTATTTTTTTAATTCTTGACTATCCGATTGCATATCTAAGGTCCCAATGAGTATTTAGCTTTTGCGCCGGGTTTTATGGCGTATCAAGAGATGGATCTTGAACTGAGCGAGAGAGCCATAGTCGATGTTGTTCTTGTTCTCCGTTTCACCGCCGCGATACACTGCAATCCTTGCCAGAAAATTAATACCACGACCAAATTCAAATGTGGTCCATTTAATGCTTAGCAGGACCGTGGTTCTATTGTCATGTCAAGAGGTACTCCTTATGGTGTGGGAATCGTGTGTTGCAGATGATTAATCCATTAGAATTATCAAAGTTGATGGGACGGACAACGTTTTCATATTGTTGGTGAAGGCCTAATTTCCCTGGCACGCATTGAGGGGACTTATACAACGATCTTGTCGGGGCATTCCAGTTTCATGCGACCAAGAAGGCGTCCTCATGGTACGTAGTTGACGGCATCCGGATGATTATTGATTGTGTTGGTTTCATCGGCATTTATGGGGATGTAAATCGCAATTGTAGATACGTTTTCGAGGGATCTCAGGAATGAACCTGATTTGAATAGTTCATCTGTGGTCTGAGAGAAGACCGGCAAACCAGCCCTGAAACTTGGAGTGGTGAACCACATCAGGCCTCGATAGTTTGAGTGTGATAGTGAGCCGGTGACAGCAAGGCTGTCTACCACCACTTCATATCGAGACAATGAACATATTTGTATGTATAAATGAGCAGGGGATCATTACCTAAATCCTTATCCATAGAACCTACTTGAGTTATAGTCCCCGAATTTTTAAGACACACTCCGGCAATATCGATGCGATCGCGAAAACAAAAGATGTCAAATCGGATCATCAACAAACGTTAGAATTTGCCAAGAGCCGCAAGTCAACAACGGAAATTGAAATTCATCGTATGAACGAAGCGTGAGCTGAAAAGCTAGGATGTGCTGGACATGCGTGTGTACAGGACAACGATTATGTCTGCGTTGATTTTGAGGCATAGGAGGTGGGTCTAACATACCTTGCAGAATAAGAGTTTCGATGAATGTCTTGAAATATCACCTTTTCACAATCATAAGATTAATGGCTGCTCTGAGCATTCCTAAATGAATGACGCGTGCCAATGTAGCGAGCTTCTCCTAACAGTAGTCATTGGATACGCTAAAACCAAGTAACACTCATTCTTATCTAAGAGTCATTCACTGTAGCCATTTCTTAGCAAAACAAACAGTTCATCAAAATAAAAAAAATCATTAGGGTTTTATCCTGGCTACTTCTCGTGGAATCTTGTTTGGAAAGAGTGTTCCACCAATTAAATAACTTCATCCCTCGACAACAAGCAAACCGACGAAGCTATCTGACCTCTAGATGAGGTTAATGCATCGTATTTTTTCTTTCAGGGTAAACATCTTGTGAAATACGGTTTCCGCACACAAACTACTGGAATTGTCAAATTACGACTGAATTGTGCTGTTCAAAGTTGGTAAGTTGAACAACGGAGTCAGCCCTGATTCTGATACACATTGATTCCTGATCATGTAAAGAGTGCCATTACGATAACTTACTGTTGAGCTCACCGTCACAAGGTCAACAATACCAATTTCGTTCTTCAGGGTGCATTAAGCAAAATCAACAAGCATTCTTTATTATCGCTTTATTTACCATAAAATAGCAATCTGTGCCTGTGTATTGGTTGTCAATCATGTAGCTTAGGGGTTACGACTCCCAGCCCGAAGGTTTCCGATTCGAGAAACAAAAACAGTACGTACCAGCGATAACTTCTGATAGGGATGGAACGGCTTCCTAATGCACCGCCTACAATCAGACCAGCAAAATATAAAACAGTAATATCCAACATAACTTACCACTTAGCAGTGAAAAAAGATACTCGTCTTGGGGTACACCCGATGCAACTTTCCACATTTTGTCAATTTGAGGGCTATATATATTCCCTGGGGGGGGGGCAGTAGTGAAATCCCCTCGAAGAATTACAAAACCGCTCGTGCCCACATTTTTATTACCACGTTTCACTAGTGGCTGAGTCCAGACTGTGCCAAACAATGGTAAAATAATCTTTATTATTATTACATCGATCTAAAGGTATATGTGTGTGCGAATCACTGACTACCCGTCAGTACGTTTGAGGCACGCGTGTACATCTTCTCCCCTGCTCATGGCAGCGTCATGGGCTATAGGATAATCGCCTAGTAATTATAGAGTCGTGCACAATGGCTTATCAGTCACAGGGAGCCGATAAAATGTATCGCAGTGGTTGTAAATGTCGATGATAAGCGAGAATATTGGGGCCCTTCGGGACTTCATGCGAGGCTAGCTCTTATAATGAACGAAGGATTCAACGCAGTGTCTCCCGTACCACCTTTCATGTTGAAGTTATGACTTACGCGTTCAAACGCAAGCTTCAATTACGCAATTTTCAGTGAGTCACGGCGCGCGGAAACGAATTGAGTTTGCCAATGTCGCCAAGGTGCTTCCGGGTAGGATATCAGGCTGTCTCGTTTCATTAATAGTATAGATAACGATCGTTTTCTAAATTGGTGAGCTTGACGTGATATTTACCATGGCACAGGTTAATTATCAGTGAGACTGACACAACCATCTACCCATTCTTACTACATTTTTTAATAATTATTATATGGATCTGAAAGAGATTAGACAGAAATCAACCGCTGGAAATTGTGCAGAGTTCGGGGTTGGGGTGCTGCAGAGGGGAAAAATATCAATTAATTAATTCTATAGTATTTTACGGCATACACTTGTGTGATGGACAGCAGATGATATGGACCCCATTGTTGCTGTTTAGTGATGGAAACCGGTAACTAAAATCCTAGAGTGGCGAACCACACAAGGATCGTCGGGGTTAGGTGTGGTACGGAACCGGACGACCTACCACCAAACATAATTATAATAGCTAACGTAGTTCATTCAAGTTGCTTTTATATTCTCTGTTATTTGGCTTCGATTCTAAAGAGAGGTGAGTTAAATTTACAATACAGCGGCTTCGAGTGAACGACTACTCGGACCCAATCGAGCAGGCCTAAATATATGGTTACGACCTCTCACCGACCGAGATCCGTTCNCTTCTGACAGTGCACATAACAGGAAGTGACAGCTGACGTTAGCTTCTTACTTAGTATGGGAAGAGAATATTTAGAGATGATTTCAAACTCCATTTTGGGAACCAGTATTTTGACGAACGGTGTTGATAATAGTAATAACCAACAAATTGAAACCATTTAGAAACTGGAAATCATANNNTCCTCCGGAAAGTTGTGATGCATATACGGACACCTTGTTGTCCTACAAGTTTCCGTGTAACTCCCCTCTTCATTTCATCAGGTTCAATTTGCACAAACATCTCACAAAGCATGCAGCCAAGGCAACAGACATGGAAAAAAGGTAAACGATTTCATCATCCACTCAAATAATCAACTGATCTTTCAGAGTAGCACTATCACATTTAGATGTGGCCAGTGTAATCCGTAAGTTTTTCAGAACTGATCGATTTTACCGTATTATTAGGTGCTTACCAACGTGCTCGAAACCGATTGTTGGAAACAAGGCAAATTATCGAAAAGTTCAGTAAAACACACTTGGACTAAAAAAAGGACAATATGGCATGTTTCATTATCATTTTCAAATACGGAACCGATTGGGATGTGAAAAAATGGATATCACTTTTTGTATGATTTGTAACTGTGCAAATTACACAAAAATATAATTGATAACAACATTGGTGAAGACTAAAAGATGACTAATCAAACGGGGCATGCTCAAAATGATAAGAAGTATGAAACAGATTCAGTGAATCAGTTGGGAGAAGACAGAAACGGAAAATATTTACACATCTGGTCGTTTCACTTTGGATGATTCGCCGCGACAGAACGGACAGTACCATTTACCTTTCGGTTGGATTCGGATATCTACACAGGCGAAGTGGAACCATTCAACTTCGCATAGTTTGTTATCACAAGCAATCATATCGCCAAATGAAACTTTTCGGCATAAACAGTAGAGACGTTCATCAGGACTAACACTTCCATCGCTGGAATNCCGTGGCAGGCTTTCCGGTCTCGTCCGAACCAGATCTTGTGACCTGTTTGGATTCGATTCGATGATGGCGAGTCGCACTTCCGTAGGTGGTTTTTTCGCGTCGCTTGGTCAGTGGGTTGTTGAGTGGGTAGAGTGTATTAGCTAGATTTCCCCGCGGCTGCACAGAGGACATATCAAGAGACGAACTAGGGGAAGCTTGCGCCGTCCCGACAAAACTTCGTTCGGATGACGCTCGGGCATAGCTGTTCTCGGGCTCAGTCAATTTGCGAACTCGTGAAACACGGCGCCGACTCACATCCATTCGGGGGTTACGGTTAATTGAAGATGATACACCTGTAGCCGTAGACGGAGGAGAGGACAAGCGAGATTTCGGGTCTTTGCCACAATATGGTTTAATTTCACGCATACTAAGCGAAGCACCCTCTGCTGTATCATCGTCATCATCATCCGCATAATCACTATCGTCCAGTTCCTCGGAACCTTCCAAACCCTCACCATTCTCTTTAGACCAACCGGCC